CTGGACAAAATTTCCCTTGAAACACACGACCGGTTTCGCGGTTCTTGCCGCTCGTCAGGCATGCGTATCCGGTAATCTTTTGTCAGTTCATTCATATACTTGTACCCAGGAAGTGTATTTTCGTCACAATAACCTTGTTTGCAGTAACCCAGTTACTGCATTGAGAATGTCACCTCGATTGGTGATGAAACGTTTGCAATACAATTGCCAAGCTCGGCGAACAACTGAACATCATATTATACCACCCGAGCTACAAAAACAACAATCAACATCGTTGTTTACCAAACTGTCATTATATATATATATATATATATATACTGCGGTGAGTGGACATGAGGAATCAATAGATCAATCACGAAATTCATTTGAGGAAAATGATAGCGTCCGGAGTATGCAACACGGCTTGAAATACCGTTTTGTAGTGCTGCGCATTGCGTGGAATGAACCTACTCTGCGTGAGTTTGAAACAGGCAACATGAAAATTCACTTTCTGTGATAATTTACAATGTTCAAAGTACATTGATAATCATCAAAAAAGGACATTGGATAACTAAAAGACAGAAATAAAAAGGCATCATCGCATTGAAAGTACGCGCATCAACCTATCCCCATCCAAGTTAAGATTAGTGCAAAATCAATCCACTATGAAACTGTCAACCGTGAGGACTTAAACAGGCGCTCCAACCAACAAAGACCAGCAAAGCACACTCACATTATTGTCGGAGTCGCTCCAAATCAAATACTCGTCCGCTCGTACAAGGCCCAAAATATCGGATCCGGCTACACACGAGGTAATCCGTTCCAAAGAGCGCCAGTCATTCATCGCCCCATCTCCTGGGCTAGAGTCATCCTGAGTGGCGGCCTGTTGTGACAAACATTCACGTGACTCCAACACCACATCGTCCGGGTAACTAATAAACGTGATAATTGTGAGGGGGGATCAGTTGTATCACAAGCGAGGGTTCTGTGTTTATGACAATGTAATGAAATATGGGGAGCATGATCCAATGATCTACCGTCCTATGGTATTCTCGCTCTCTCACGCGCACACAAAGACCGGGTGAAGTGTTTCGACAATTGACTCGACCGACCGGTGAATCAAATGGTTTACACAAACGGAGTGGAAGATCGAGAACCGGCTCAACGTATGCACACACACACACACACCTGTGTAGGTACACGAGGTACCGTAATGCAACTTTCTTGGGAGTGAACAACACTCACGAATCTAGGCCAGACCAGACCAGATGTGCACACGAATGCACCCAAATCCAACGCGCTTGATACCACAATTCGATGGCAGAAACGGGTCGGCCTGATAGCATCAGCAGCAGCACGCTGTGTCCAGCTCGAGTGACGGTGTGAGTGTGTCCATGTGGACGCACCAAACACCCTGATCAAGGTCAGAGAGTGTTCACCAGCTGTACAACAACCACTNAACCACTACCGCAAACACCCAAATTGGCACATGTGGAACCGGATCGCGCGTTATTGGCTGAATTCCGAGAGCAATGAGATTGTGCCAGTAGATGTTGGTGGGTGTGTGTGTGCGTGCTGACTAAAACAGAAGCGCTCAGAGCAGTGCCCTCAGAAATAGCCTGACTACACAACATACTAATCTTAACCTTTAGATAAGCGGCCCGATTTGTGAGTGTGGTAAAAGGTGGTGGTGGTGGTGCTGTTCGTGGTTACTGTGATGGTGATGCGGGTACAAAACGAAAAAAATATGACCATATTATTCTGCGACCGCAAACACCAGTCACGTATCGTCCACTCGAAATGCAGGCGCCACAGCAACACATTCACAACAGCTAAAGTAAAAACAAAAACTGTGAGCATGATAAACAAATGCAAATAGTGATTCTACGTGAGACCCTTTTGGGGTGTGTGATTTGCTTATGAGCGAGTGTTCTTCACATGCACAGATAACGTGGTCTCATTTTTGTGATGAGCCACCAGCAGCGCAGCTGGACAGAATTTCCGAGTGGTTTCCATGTTTAGTGGCACGGTAAATCAGTACGCAGAATAGATTTTCTTATAAACCGTTGTAATTTCGTTTTGTAATCGGTTTCATGTGGGACAACTGCACAGACAGAGAAAAATATACGAATTGAGGCAGCTTCAGGAGACGATTATCACCTTGGTCATCGAACAACAGCCCGATTTACTCATACACAATCAGCGGTTCCGCATGGAACGGAGCTGATCTTTTCCATCCTCACATGGATTACAGCAAAATATAAGACACCATAAATATCATTATGCATCACTCAGCAGGGATAGGCAGAAACTGAAGAGATGTCTTTGTCTTTAACGCAACACAATAAACAATTGGAATGAATTCATAGGACATCAAAATGGTGAACGCACGATATGAAAAGATGAAGTGACCAAAAGTGACAGTGAATACGAACGATTACCGGTAGAGTTGTGGTAGACTTGTCGGTATCCAAATAAGGGCCAACTGTGATGAGGGCATCCTTACTTCCAAGCGGATTCAAAAAAACTCAACACCAGCAACAATAAGAGGAGATGACGGAAGCAATCACTATTCGCACACTTGGATCAGTCTGAGATAGCTAACACACTGATCGACTCATTCATCACAAAACACGACTGATCAGTCAGTTCGAAGCAAAACGAACACCAGTATGAATAAAAATCCCAATTGGCTGGGTTGACCAAGACGTCTGAGGACAGTAAAACGGATACCACAAATGGCACCATGAACGCGTTCTGAGTGAAAGCAGATACACTAATCAGATCGTATTACATCCAACCAATCCGCATACAGCAGTCACAGATGACCATTTACACACATTACAGAGTGCTGATTGGTCACTACCGACCTGTACTGTAATATTACGGCACGAAAGTAGACTGTGCCATAAAATGTACCCGCGCCATGTGTGTTTGTGCACACACGCATGCCTAAATGACTTGGCACACGTGGTTGTGCATTTCAACACAATGGAATGGAATGAGCGATTTTGAAAGCGGTGAGGATTCCATTGAGTGGGAGGAGATGAACGAGCGGTTAGATATGCGTTGTATAAAGGACGGTAATTCTGTGACACGCATTGGTATTCTCAAAACAGTATATGTGGCAATCATAAACCACCAAATGTGTGTGTGTAATAATGACAGAAAGTGATTAGTCATTCCACTACACACAAACACGCACGAGCACATTAATGGATGATAGGAAAAGAGTAAATCAAAAAGGTGTTAAATATGACTACCTTGATTCACACAAGAAAAAGGTGTGTAAACTTACTTGCAATGATCCGAGCTCTCGGAGAAGCTGAACTGGGGGACCTCCGATGGAGCTGAGCCAACTTCTAACGCAAGCAATCCCTTGTACTCTGGAGCCACCGGTGAGGATGGATTGGATGAGGACGACAAATGTGTCTCGGATTTCTCCTCTAGCGATGCATCGGACATTCCACGCTGAGGGCAAAATGATGGAGTTCGATTGGAGAAAGAAGAGCGAGTGGATCAAACAATTTGAAGAGGTAATGGTATGATCACCATAACCACAGTTTCATCGAAGTATGCTAAAAATTGATTGTTGTTGATTAAAAACAGTGTGTGAGTTGTAAACTTAAAGTTGAGACCAATCGTGCCAACGTTCACTAATTTTATCCGTGAAACCAGACTGTGTGTGTATGTGTGTGTGGAAACACCAAGATCATAAAATGCATCTTACCAACCACTATGTACAGAATTCTTTCATAGCTAGAAGAGCGGCATATAAACAATGAGGTCGTTTGTTGCATTAAAGACGTCCTCAAATAATCACATGAAAATCTAAGCTACTCAGCACAACACAATAGTCACATTCGGATTTCAACCGATCGAGTCACACATGTAAGCAGGCAAAATGCAGACAAGTAGAAATTTATAATACACCATACATAACCAGTCCTTGAAGCGCCCCGAGAACTGAAATGGTGTTACGTTCTGACTGTCAGATACCTTATACCTTATAGGGCGTTTAGAAGCGTATAGTGACGTGCACAGCTGATTTTACCCGGCCGATTTGACACAGTGGCCCATCTCTCATCCATTCCGGGTTCGTTCGCTTTGTACGTAGACCGTTTCGTTGGTGGATGACCAAACCTGCAGCGCTGATTAAAGTTCGACAGCGATGAAAGGATTTTTCCACTTTTATACAAGTTGTAATTTATTTACTCGGGGTTCATAGAGGGTATGGGATTAGTTCTCAAAGAAATCGCACCAACGAAAAAGCCACCACGCACAACGGGAAACACTGGCGAGGTATCGATGCCCCTATTAACTTAGGTTGAGGCAATATCGTTGCATCAGATACGTGACATAACAAATAAATGATTACTATCGTTTTAATTGCGCGGTGGTGGATTTACACACATCTTTTGCGCGTCCCGTCTGATACAAGACTCCTAAATATGTGCCGGCAATACAAATGGTGGCGGTTGTTTCGAATAAATGTCAACTACAACGAAAAACTAAAGATCAATGCAGCTGGAGACAGTACTTTTTCGATTTCGTGGAACGGATATAAAGCCATAAATCATCATCGTCGGATGATAAAAATTTCTGCTTGTCAAAAGCAGAAAGCAATCGTTCCGAGACTGATGGAAAGGAACGAGAGGACAGATGGGTGATTTCCATTTCATTCTCACGACATAAAACAATAATCCCGTGAACTCAATGCAACCTGATTCGCAAGCACTAAAGCCTTAAGAAATATACCCTCCAGAGAGCGAGAAACTCACCGGGTGCACTCCGTCTCCTCAGATCAAATTATTCGATTGGTGCTTCTGTGTTTCTACATTTTGGCTNTTTGGCTTCTAAATTCCAATCACAAACGATTTACGGAATTCGGGAACTTTCTCACAAATGATTAATTATTTGCTACTCAACTTTCTGTACAAAACAATAAATTAAATATGATATCACGACTAGGTGATGAATCCCTGAGAACTAGGCGTTTTGCTTAACTTTGTGTTGTTTTCATCTCGTAAGTTCGACGTTTTTCGACAGCTCGGTATGATCTTGGAACAAATCACATTTGGCTGTCTGAGACAGACAATTAACTTGAAAGAGGAAAACTCAACCCAAACAAAAATCCCGAGGATGAAAGGTACTTAGCTTTTTCCTCGTGCAAATATTTTTACTAACTTTGATGGGCGAACAGACGGTTTCATTTCTTTTCCAAATCTGGTTGCAAAAGTCACGGTGATTACGATTAGTGCAGGAATAAACAGACAACAGAGGTCGTAGATAGGTCCGGATGGGAATGCACACATCCTGCATACTGCGTGAGTTGGCCATCATCCATTGACTATTTTCTGAAATCTCAATTGATATTCACCCAGGCCACCTTTGTTAGACTGAATGAATTATTCATGACTGAGAGAAGCACAAGCTGTTCTGCTGAAAAACGAAGCAAACCTGTGTCAGCAAAGATTAGGCAGTGCTTTTTGAAAAACAAGTCGTGTGGTCCTTTATTGTCTTGTACTGCTAACATCCTCAGACATCGAACGCAGTTTTCAACGTGTATGTGTTTGTACCTGAAACATCGACCAGTGTATCACCATGAGAAGAACTCAGCTGGAAAAACCAATGAAAACTGAATTTTGACGGTAAAAGGATTCTTGCTTGTAATCAAGTTAGCCACAGGCTTGGACAAAGTGACAGAACGCGTTTTTTTCTTGAACAGGTCCTGAAAAGCCTTATAGAAAGAGCGAGAGCCATCGCCTGTGAACAAATTTCGTGTATCCGATTGTGTAAGAATGAAGCATGCTTTGCGAATCTTAAAATTGGCCACTTCAAAATCGATACCACGGTTCTAAGGCAGAAGATGTTATCCCTTATAGTCTGGAGAATGTTACCAGCAAAGGCACATCTATAAATAGCGAATTCACACATACAGGGATACAAAGACCTCGGTTGGTAGGGGTAGGCTTCTAATTCAGAAGATAGACGTAACTGAAATCATCAAACTATAATGTTCATACGGGTTGAAAGACCTCGGAACTCCATTGGTGATAATAATGATTTTTTATTGCGAGACTTTTTCAGGCAATAGATTTAACGTAATGAAGGTTAAATTCAGTGACCAATATGGGTAACACAGATATCATAACACAGCTGGTTGGATTGTCGAAATTTTAGAGCCCATCACCAACGGTTCATAGCACGAGGGATTTATTCGAGACTTTTAACCACATTACGGAATGTGAACGTATCTCCCAGAACCTTCCCTCTCCGGATGTTGAGTCACTGATCACAGACAACCCTTTATTGGAAACGGTGGACGGTATTTGGGAGTACTTAAAGGAAATATTGCAGTTTTTACTAATAGCATATTGTCGCGTTTTTCACTTTCTTCTTCGAATGCACACATTTCCGTGAATTGTGTGCAGTAATTTGCCTGGACAGAGAATACTTTATCGATAGGGATCGTCTAGAATATCCCTCTTGGGGGACCTTAACTCAGTGGGAGTTGGAGGATCAACATCTATCAAATAGTCAACTACTTTGTGATCAGTCAGATTCCCCTCGACAAACATAAATAAATTAGTGCACATTGGATGTCATCGATCGGCAGGGTACATTACGCGAGTGATGCATCAAAAAGGTATGATAAAAATTTACAAGCCAGCTTACCTTAGCTCGAAGACCTTCCAACCCCCCCAGCTGAAATAAAGCAAAACAGACATGGATCAGGGAGAAGTGAAAAAGGGCAGGATGTGTACAGTGATGATGAAGTAACTAGCACAAGGACTGATCAGAGAAAAGCAGTACATCTGATTTGAACTGTACTTTGATTGCGGATGGCCATACAGTGATTAAGGGTGCTTTGCGCACCATCCGTTGTATGGTCGACTCTTCAAAAATGCACACATTAGAAGGAAATATTCGCACGACATTGTCCAATTTGTTTTACATTGCGCTGATCGAGAAATAGGTATTGCGTATAGCATTCGATCGATAGTCAGGATCTTCTAAAACGAGTACTTCATACACGAACACACGAAAACTACCAAAAGGAGTACGACGGGTCCAGTTAAGGTTAGTAAGGTACAGTATATAGGTCCAAACCAATTTTATTCATAATTGATGCTGCCATCTGCCTTAATAGGTATCTTGTTGATCGATGTTCTTTTTGCATACAAATTATTTTTTTTTGTATTATCCATTGAATCAATAAGTTAACTAACCGAAGTGATTGGAAACCCAGTGCACTGCCGATCAAAGAAACAAGTGTTAGTTAGTTGAAGAATCAGGGTTACCGACGATTGATAGTGCATGGTTAGATGTTTTAGGCACAAGTAGAAAGCAAGACACAGACCCACAAGCATTAGGACATATTTACCAAGTGACTCTAAGTACCCTTCGAACAGCGGCATTGAAATATTCTGTTTTCCAAGAACAATGGTATCGTGGAACACACTGTTTTAGGGGATTTACTCATCAATTGTATATCATAGCCATTAGGCGATGAGATAAAGTTAGCATCATCAGTCGAGAACCTCAGACGACTGTAGTGCTTTGATGATCTGATAGCAAAACTACCGTAGCAACACTCAATCTCTAACGCATACAAACACACCAATTTCTCACCCATGCAATCTGATAGAGGAACAAACATGATTAGGCAATTGCTGCTATAGTCCATGCCCGCCGTAGTTCCGATTCAACCGGATTAACCCATATTTATATCCGCTTAACACAGTCGCGCATCCGAACACCAAATTCTCCACACAAAGTAGGAACCGGGCAAAACAAACCGACAACAAACACTTAATCGGACAGTGCACGGTAACTCATTCTCAAAATGTGCGAATGTTGCGATAATCCATGAGGACGAGAACCGTAAACGAAGAGAGGATGCCAGATTCGAAAGGGTCCTTTCATCCACATGACCCGGCCGTTTATGTTCATGGGTCACGTCAATCGCCACGAGTGCGTAAAAGATTAACCAACCGAGAATGAGGGCAACTGAGCGGTGATTGAGTGCGAAAACCCGGGACAGTGAGAAATGAGGACAACTTTAGTGACCGTGAAACTAACTATACCAATGATCCGGACATGGGGATAGAGTACTCCTGAACAAAATTTTTTTCTCCCAAATTCCATGACGAAGCCACGGAATGGGAAATCCGAAAAAGGGCAACATGCGCAAGGATTACAATAGTTGGAGAAAACAAAATAGTTTCTTAAGGTCTGTGCATCCAATAGATTGGCACAGTAATCGTTTGACTTGAAAACACCGGAAAGTCCATGCTCAGTATGTAGTTATTTTCATCACACAATCATGTGACACTCAATGAAGAGAATGAATCCCTAAGTTGCACAGACTCAGTGTTCCGCTTAAGAAGCTCAGAAGTCATTGGAACTAGTGTCGCGAACCACAAAGTACGCCATACAATCAACGAAAAATGATAAATGCTGAACTACCTGAACAGTGTGTCTAAGGTGATTGCGAATTAACATAATCCTAAGTGGTACAAGAACTGTTGCTCGTCCCCTTAGACTACAGTCACAGACACATCTGATGAGCNAAAACGAGCACAAATTACCGCTCGTCTAACCTGATTACTCATAGTAGTAGAACACTGAATTCCAGAGATCCAGTCACTATGTGGAATGAATAAGACTTATCGAACCGGCAGGCCCCGAACACGGTTAACGATCAGGATGTGCCAGTCCTGAGTCCCGCGTTTATGGCTAACTCCTGCGGTTGAACCGAAGTACACCTGCACCAAATGACACAACGTACAATTAAATTTTGGGGGGACCGGACGAGAAAAATTAAAGAAACAGAAACAGTCTCTATTGAATTTAGACGGTGAATGTTTGAATTAGCCCATTCAGTTTTTTCACGGGCATCAAGTACTGTTAATGATCTTCAGTACTGAACGGGATAAAAACGACGTACTTCTGACGAGTCTCAAACAGAACGAAACAGCTGTCCAGTGCTCATTGTTGGTCATCGCAAACATTTCCATCGGGTTTAAAAGTTTCTGTGAAACTTTTAGATAATTTAGCTGATCATAAATACACAAACACATCAACGTCTGTTCTCGTTTGGTGTTTCACTGTCGCATTTTGCAATACATATTTTAACGAACAGGTGAATGTGGGAATAAGTGAACACCGGAGGCCACGGATAACGACATACACAACTCGTGTAATGTAGCCAATTCACGTTTATGTTGCAAATGCATTGAGTTCAAATCTTGCAACTGCGTTTTCAATGTATCCCAACCGGATCAATAACGATTTCTATGCTCATTGCGTCATTTTGGAGTATGCACACAGTATGAAATTATTCTATTCGGTGAGCACGAGCTTGTTCGTTATGTGGTCTACCATATCTACTACCATGAATTCAGTTATTCCTATACTTCTGCCTCACCAGATACACATTCCTAGTTTTGCTATATCCAGATCAGATACGTTTCACTGTTGCATACGACATGTAATTTTGTTTCTAATTGCATCCTGAGCAGTTCACTTTTTTAGCAGGCCATGTTCAACGATATAAAAGACTTTTTATCGACGATCTTAAGGTGATCTGGTTCATTCGGGTGTTCCTTCATTATTCCACATCCACTCCTACGACGGGAGCGTTTGCTCAGAGGATTGCATCTGTGATCCTATTGACATGAAGAAAGTTGTACACGAACTGATTGTAAAAAAAAATCAAAAATCTGATTTATGGGACAATTTTATCATTTTTATTTTGACATAACGGTGAAAAAGAAAGGTTTGTGACTGAAATTTACGCATATGATTGCTTGCAAAAGTCAATATAATACAACTCTCCCCATACGGACGACTCGTCCAGACAATGGCCAGTTCTTCCGTTCGTAATTCCAGCATAAATAATAATAAACTATTTTTGAACTGAATGTTATCTGGTTCTTATCCGCACTTTTGTGTGGTGCGAAAATGATACCTTCAATCTAGAATCCCCATCGCGTGTTTTGTTCAGATTCATGCAGGTCAAGGGACAAAACCATTTGATCATGAACGAATCAAATGGATTTTCACAAATGGTTCATATTGAAAGGGAAGAAAGATACGGAAAGATTGATTGGCATTCTGTGTCCTAATCTATCACTGGTAAACAGCTCAACCGAAAACAAGTACCTATAGGCTATGGCATGTGTCCCTCCGTGCGTTCACGAGTTTTGTTAACATTCTATGGTCAACTATGCACCATTCTGTACTCCCTCATGGAACACGGTCTATAGCAAATGAGTACATTGCATCCAGAGACACATCGCGGAACACAGCGGTTGAAGATAGGCCCAATGATCCAGTCAACCTGAAGCATATTATTCATGCACTTCCTGCTTGGGGATGAGATTACGTGAAAAACACCAACAACTCAAATCCCTGTCATCGAACACGACAGTAGTTCAATCGATAACCAAACGCGATCGATTAATGTAACTCACCATGCGCACAGTACAGGTATGCTGTACACATGTGGACCGTCGAACCAATTCACCGATCGTGGTCTGCTGTGTATAGTGCTCCACATATGATATCGTTTTCGTCCGTTCATGTGGACCGTAAGCGGTTTCTCGTTTGTGCCAATTCGTGCGGAATAGATCAAACAGCTGATTGGAAAGACGATGATCGCGATCCGGATCATCGTACTGGGATGAGCCAAAACGGAACATGTAGCTAGTCACTGAGATGGTGCAGTGGGACCAGGGTAGGGGGAAATCACCGGATTCGCGCAGAGAGGTAACAGAATGAGGCGAAAGAACTGGTACAGTACTCGAATAAAATAAAAGCGGTACACTTAGTGAATAAAACAGTATGACATTGCAAACAGCATTCTGGTTCCGTACAACTGTATGCGCGTGCATTTTGAATTCGGTGCGCTGGCGTGCATACAATAGTTGTTTGTGTTAGAAATTCTGGAGATCCGTGGTACAAGGGTACTTGGGAGATATACGTAACTGCAGCCTGCCATGTGTGTTCCCAGTTAGTGGATGGGGGAATCTCTCACCAAGCATGAACTTCTAATGAGTCATGGCTCGCTGTGACAACTCAGCAGTTGCGAACAAACAGCGGCGGCGCTACCGGGGCGACGGGAGTGAAAGTCTGGGCACTTGTCTATCCGGAAAAGCCAAATAAGCCCAATAACACTTCCGTGATTAAGACTGATGTAACCGGCCCTCCAAAAATAAAGTCACTGATCCCCTCACACACACGGAATGAGGGGCTCCCAGTTCCCTGGACATGACTGCTCGAATGGTGTACGAGCCGCTGTGATCACCGGCAGTTCTGTGACAACAGCTCACAATGCTATCCCGCTGCCTTGAAGGCTCCGGATGAAACTTGGTAAGAAACTTTCCTTACCCGATCTGGGCAACCAAGAAGTATGCTGCGCCAGGTAGCGCTGGGGACAATACATTGTACCAG